ATTATTCCTATACTACACGTATGCTACACTCTTCTTTTTTTGATTTTCTTTTTGTTTCCTGAGCCCACGCCTTCGACCATCTACGTTGGTTCCGTCGACTTCAGTCAACTTTGGCGAAAGCTGGATTGGCCACCCACGCTCTTGTCAACGTACTCAGTCGATATATTGGTTTCGAACGCTTGGCACACGCTTGGTCACGAACTTGGTCGTAACGGTCGCTTCTGGTCTTTCGGCTCAACGTGGTTTCGTCCTACGTCTGCAGCGTTTCTGGTGCGCACCTCTACGAACGCCCTCTTCAGATTCTGGATACAAACCACTCTGGTGTAGCATGCCAACTCAAGCAATAAATACAACACATCGCTCCTGGTACCGTTCTCCGATAACGACCTTCGTTGGCAACTCGACGATCAACGATCGCTTTCCTGTTCGCCAATTCTTCCGTCCTACAATCGCTCATCAGCCGATCAGTCCCACGATTCAAACCGCTATTTATCGAAAGTGTAAACCCTTTCTAGCGGGGGGCTCCTGTAGTGACTCACGTTTATCACGAGAACACGACTGGTTTAATAAAAACAATTATTATTATAACCAACTGTACCAGCGTTTGTTTTAACGTGCTTTTGTTTGACTGTGCTAATGTCAGCTACTTTGTGCTTCCATTCTTTCGCTTACACTTCGATTGTAACTTCGCGCGAATTCGGTTACCTTCTGTAACCAAGGTTGTATCCTGGCACGATCTCGGTATCCTTTCGATGCCACGAGATCGCCAGCTAATAAACCTCGACTTGGTCCATTAACTGTCTTCTGATATTTGGCTTCTCGGGGATTTTATGGAGTCATTTGGAACGAGCTTCTTACGCCTTCTGATTTATCTGGCACGTGTTTCCTTGGTAGCGGTGTTCATAGTTAATATCAACTCGACACCACGCTACATTGGTGAGCCGTATTTTGGAACACGCCTCAACTTCTGATCAAATCTTCCAAAGAAGCCAATTCGGTGAGTCTATGGTTTACCTATCCACGTCTGTCGTATATTTTCATATTTTTTAATATATAATATACGCGACATGACGGATAACGATAAGAATAGTATTAATATAATAGACTCACACGTATGTGTACCGAATCCTTGTCACTTTTTATTCGCGTGATGATGAATTCCACGCTTTATTCGAGAAATGTTACCCTATTAACGATTCTCCTCGCTGACCCGGCTGCTTGGTACGGAATGCATACGCATAAGCATATCCGTCTACCACCCAGCACCAAATGGTTAAGTTGAACGGTTTCACTGCCAACTTAAAAGTGTTCTACGAGCACACGAGAACGGCAACTGGCACGAAACCATACCGCTCGTTCTTTTAGGGGCGAGAACGAGCTTAAAGGCAGATATCCAATGTTCCGCCACGGAACTTGTATACGGCACGACATTGCGTCTGCCCGGAGAATTCTTCACACCACGGAGCAGACCTAATTTCGGTAAATCAGACTACGTCCATCGACTGTCTGCATTTATGCGAACGCTGCCTCCGGTGTCAACTCGAATACAACATCGACAGGTCGCTCTCCCTCGAGAGTTATCTACCTGTTCACATGTTTTTGTACAAGTAGATTCGGTACGCAAACCTTGGCAACAACCTTACGAAGGCCCTTTTCACGTGATCGCTCGTCACGAAAAGACCTTCAAGGTTGATCGATATGGACGCGTCGAGATCGTCAGCATTGATCGTCTCAAACCAGCACACGTCGATGACAGTGCCCTATCTGACACCCTGAGATTCAATGCTAGACCTATCAAACCTAGCGGGATCCTTAAATCTTCTTCAGGTCCCACGCTAGATGCATCTGAGACCTCATTCTCACGTCCCGGTCAACAGCACGCGTCATCTGCACCGTCTACGGACGAGACGACAGTCTCACGTCCAGATCAGCAGACCACGCCGCCCTTGACTTCGGATGAGATTGCAGGCTCACGCGACGCGAACGAGACTGCCGTCTCACGTTCCGGTCGCCGAGTACGATTACCCGTACGCTTCCGCGAATAGTCGCACAGTCAACAACCGATGCAATGTAGGATTATTCCTATACTACACGTATGCTACACTCTTCTTTTTTTGATTTTCTTTTTGTTTCCTGAGCCCACGCCTTCGACCATCTACGTTGGTTCCGTCGACTTCAGTCAACTTTGGCGAAAGCTGGATTGGCCACCCACGCTCTTGTCAACGTACTCAGTCGATATATTGGTTTCGAACGCTTGGCACACGCTTGGTCACGAACTTGGTCGTAACGGTCGCTTCTGGTCTTTCGGCTCAACGTGGTTTCGTCCTACGTCTGCAGCGTTTCTGGTGCGCACCTCTACGAACGCCCTCTTCAGATTCTGGATACAAACCACTCTGGTGTAGCATGCCAACTCAAGCAATAAATACAACACATCGCTCCTGGTACCGTTCTCCGATAACGACCTTCGTTGGCAACTCGACGATCAACGATCGCTTTCCTGTTCGCCAATTCTTCCGTCCTACAATCGCTCATCAGCCGATCAGTCCCACGATTCAAACCGCTATTTATCGAAAGTGTAAACCCTTTCTAGCGGGGGGCTCCTGTAGTGACTCACGTTTATCACGAGAACACGACTGGTTTAATAAAAACAATTATTATTATAACCAACTGTACCAGCGTTTGTTTTAACGTGCTTTTGTTTGACTGTGCTAATGTCAGCTACTTTGTGCTTCCATTCTTTCGCTTACACTTCGATTGTAACTTCGCGCGAATTCGGTTACCTTCTGTAACCAAGGTTGTATCCTGGCACGATCTCGGTATCCTTTCGATGCCACGAGATCGCCAGCTAATAAACCTCGACTTGGTCCATTAACTGTCTTCTGATATTTGGCTTCTCGGGGATTTTATGGAGTCATTTGGAACGAGCTTCTTACGCCTTCTGATTCGCTTGGCACGTGTTTCTTGGTAGCGGTGTTCATAGTTGATCTCAACTCGACGCCACGCTACAAGTGTACAGGCGTCTTTGGGGTGATCTTTTAATGGCTTACAGAATCCTTAACACTTATTGACATCCTTCTAAATACTTACTTAAGTTTAGCTCAAACACAAACCTGTGGGTAACAAACAGAAACTGGAAACACAACCTGTACAGCTTGAGAATAGTCAAATGCTGGAATTCGCTGTCGGCTGAGCTAGCCCAAGCGACTTCCTAAAAGTCCTTTAAGAAGAAAGTGCAGTTATTCTTAAGGATTAAGGATAGTACCTTACTATGATCTATCAATTTCTTTTTATTCTTTCATCGGTAATATATCTAGGTTCCTGCCTGTAAGTATTGGTGATTCATTGCTACTAGACACGGAAGCCCGTTAAGCAAAAGCTTCTTCTAATCCTCCCACAATCATTTGAACCATTTGAGCCATTTTAACCTGAATAAGACAGAGGAAGCAAATGACCACAACATTTCTAAATTCAAGAATTTTCCCCTTCAAACGGAGCTGCTCTACGTTTTGTTATTGAAATTTAGCCACTATTAGTTCACACATGAATCCTGAAAAGATTTCGCTCTTTGATTCTATTCAGTAAGTTTTCCGATTTTAAATATTTGTAGGCTGTGTGACCTTCACGATAACACTCAGTCTACGTACTTTGATTTGTGACGTGTTTTAGTAGTCGGGTTTTCGTGAGAGTTGGCAAATATTGAGTCTCAGTATACCTTGTCTAAAACAAAGCTTTCATATTACTTTTATCTGCTTCGGCTACTTCATACTGATTTGAACTAGTAGAAAATACACAAAGGCACTAGTGCCTTTTTTATGATTCAATATTTTAATTCCGAGATACTCAGTCGAACTGTTTCTCCCACATCTCAACAGTCTACATTTTCTAACAATATATTAATTATTATGCTAGTAGTCCAACTAATTAGTTTACTGGTTGTCTGGAACTCGTCAAAGAAGTCATGTACATCTAACAGTATCATATATTTCCTCCTATTACTTATTACTAAGGTGTATACTTATTTGGCAGTATCGGTGCAGTTTGGGGAGGTATTATGCATTACTATACCTTCTTGACCAACCATTATTAATGACTTTTCAGTGTTTCAGTAAAGCTGTTTCATTATTAATCGATATTAGTAAATGGATCATCATACATTGTTGCGTTGTACAATACAGTACCGTTGCGTCATCTTGATGAGAGGAATAAGAATTTGCAAAATTATCACCAAGGCAAGTTAAGTTGCCCAAAGTGCATTCAGAGAGACGTCTGCGTTTTGTTAATTTTATCAGCTAATTTGGTTTTGAAAGTATAAGATATGCAAGTTAGTTTGGAATTATCTCGAATGTAAGTAAGAACTTGATGTCGAAGATGAAATAGAATGAAACTGGTATGTCTGAGTTCGACTAAGTCGTCCAGTGTACAACAGAAGTCCATGTAGGTTACTGCATAGCTACTGTTAGTTTAAATATGTTCGGTCGTGCGCTATAACCATGGTATTTAAAAGCTTGTTGCTCCCATTAAGTTGGGTCTGTAGATTAGCTACTGAGTATTGAAAATACACAGGTTTTATTGTGAACAGTCTGTGCAATGTTTGACTTCCTTGAAACGGATCGTATCTCGACATAGACATCTACAAATTACTGTTTAAGATGTCTTGTGTGCTATGATTTTTACTTTAGTGGTTGAAGGATAATCATTCATATTCACTACGTTCCTTCATCACTTGTTATCCACTACGATGTGTAATGATTGTTTCTTATGCGAAGTACCAAACTTTTAGGCGTGAATCAATTGAATCAAAGTGGTTTGCCACTATACTACACTTTGCATTGGTTCAATTTTTACAGCACCTTAGTCTACAGTGGATGTATATGTCCACCTGTTTATCTTAATGTAATTTTGTTTATTCATGTGTCTTGTTTTTTAGTTGTTTGGATTGGTTCACCTTATTACCTACCCCATATTTGTATATATATTGTGCAATTTTTTACTCAAATTGAATGTCGATCATGGATTGTATGAATTCGGTAGATTCTTCACCTCCAGTAGTGCAAAAGTCTGCAAATGACTTGAGAGAATATAAAGTGATGCGTTTACGCAATAGGATGAAAGTGCTTCTTATAAGTGATCCGGAAACAGATAAGTCTGCAGTGTGTTTATCTGTGAACATTGGTATGTTGATGGTAGTTGTTTCAGTGTTATAATTCTAGGTTCACTGTCGGATCCGAAAGAACTGCCTGGTCTCGCACACTTTTGTGAGCATATGTTGTTTCTTGGTACGAAATCATTTCCAACAGAAAATACCTATTTGAAGTACATAACCGATCATGGTGGTCACTGTAATGCTTTTACGAGTCCAGATAGAACTTCTTATGTGTTTGATGTTGCACCTGAAAGTTTGAAGGGTGCGTTGGATATTTTCTCACAGTTCTTCATCTGCCCTCTTTTCACCGATTCAGCAACAGAACGTGAGGTTAGTTTTAATCTGGTTACTGTACATGGCAAGCGTTTGTTTGTTAGTTTGTTGTGAATGGAACGTGGTTTCAATACTGCGACAATGATTTCCGTCTCAGTGCACATGTTTTTTTCAAAGAAATGTTTGGTGCATATGAGAGTTTCTATCAGTTGTTTCATTAATTAGGTGCGAAATTATGAAAACTCAGATGTTTTCAAATATCATAGCCCGATCACTGATATGTTTTATATTGAGTTTTACCTTTGTGCTCATAATTGATGAACACCACTTATAATTTTACAGTGAACAATGATTTTGATTGATTTTATGAACATGTGGACCACCGAGTAATTAATATAGTTGTTAGGAAACGGGTACTAGGTAAGAATGGCAAATCAATTGATGAAGTAGTGAAACTTCATCAGTTGAGATGGCTGGGACACGCGTTACGTATGCTCAACCAACGGCTACCCCGACTTGCGATGTTTTATGGTGTAGGAGTAGATTGGAAGAAAACTAAGGGTGGCCAGACCAAAACATGGCACAAATCCATGAAGTGGACTGAGCCATGTTGGTAGGTGTAGACTACCTGGTTGGGATCCGCTTGACGATAGTAAGTGATGGTTAGAGACCTTGGATGACATGGCTCGAAATCGTTTGCAGTGGTGCAGGTGCATCCACTCTTTGTATTCTCCCTAATTCTAATCTCCTGAATCCTCCTTGTCTCTTTTTTTGAATCGACAACTGCATCTCTGTGCTAATGTGGTGTGGCAACTCTAACTGATGTACGTATGTACGAAGTTGTACGTTGTTACTGACTATGAACATGTGTCAACTGCATTTCGGCTGTCAAATCAGGTTTGTGGTAGTTATAGAGCATTTTTTGAAGTGATGCATTAAATGTCCTGCTTCGGTCTGGACACCCGAGTAGTATCACAGCTCACACTCAAATCAAGTAACTTGTGTGATGCATATGTATTCAGTGCTCCTTTGTATCAATATTTATGTGATCAAACAACAAATATTAAATGTGTTAAAACTGGTTTCACAAAACTTTGTTTATCGAATATTGCTATCCACTATGTGTGCACAGATTGGTGTTGTGGGTCGTCCTATTTCTTACTCTATTGAGTACATCTTTCTCCGTTCGAGAATGAGATTATGTGTAAATTATTGTAATATGCAGCACGTGTAGGTGATGTGCCTCTTCCATTATATTCAAAGCCGTATTTAGAATTCAGGAGCCCAATATCTGCTTCCGCTTCACTGTAGTACAGCTGCAATCGTAGTGACCGACAAGCTAGATGGAGAAATATGGATAGTCTCATCAGAATGTTTTGTATTGTATTTATGAAAGATAAACCAGGGTACACCTGTCTTGTACATATAGATAATAATTGATATTGAGAAAGGTAAGACTAATATATTAAAAAGATAAGCAACTAACGAAAGAGTAGCTATAGTCATAATGGATTTCCAGGTTATAGTTTCGAAACTCCATTTATTCACCTGATTTTAGATAGGTTGGTAGTATCTCTCGTTTGCAGACACTAGCTGGTTATTTTAATGTAGATATTATGCAACTTTGTTCTAAATAAGACTTTATTTTATGACGAAGGTAAAGTCTTTCGACTTCATGAAGAATTATTTTTGTGCTTATTTCATCTTTTATTGTAAAATGTAATAGTTGATTGCCTTCTACTGCTTAAGATTTTGTGCTTGTATGGGTAATTATGTTTCAACGAAAACAGTTATGGCAAAGCACCAGTGCGTGCCGATCCACGTGACGGTGTTAGTGCTTAAGTGATGTCAATCAGAAAATAAAGCCTACGACTGCAGATAACGCTGTCAAGAGTATATTGAAGCTAGAGTGAGAATAGGGGATAAGAGTGAAATCAAAATGTAATTTAACTTTATTGATATAAATATGTTAAAATTGGAAATTCATTTGAATTGTGGTCAATTTTGAAGCATATATATATGGTTATTATTGATAACCTTCGTCATTTCAATTCTTTACATTCACTTATGTCAATCGTTTCACACTATATCTTACCTCAATGTAAAATTTAAACACATATTTAGTTGTAAGCAGCTGATAAAAAAGTACAAACTATGATGAATTCATTTTATTCTGCATCCATGTTCGTTCTCGCCTAATATAAATTTTGAAGCGCATTGCGGAACTGGTCACAGATATTATTTTATTTGCACATTTTGGTTGAATAATGATCGTCAAAAATTGGTTTGTAAAGGGACTTGTTATCCATTTTAACGCAAATGCGGTATTATATTTTGAATTTCGTAGCGAACTGAAAAAGTTTCTTACGCTTTTTAATTGTGGTCGTATCACTCTTCCCAGTTCTCAGGTGAAGACCGTTAAAATACATGCTCCCAGACCTGATATCGTCATCACTATATTTGTAAACAGAAGGGACTTGATTGTATTGTTTTACCCTCTGTCAGCTTGTTAATAGACGTTTTCTAAATAAAAGTGTTATGCTTCGAATTTTCGGGAGCCCTGCATTCGTTTTCTGTAGTTATCAATATGGAGTTTATTAGCTACTTTATTTAAAACACTTAGTAATACCCGTTGGCTTAGTGAATTATAGTTGTTTGGTGGTACTGGTACCAAGTGACAACGTCATAGATAATTTGCCATAATAATTTTACTGTTTTGACTACCACTAACAAGCAACGTTTTAATTTTAGGTGAGTGCTGTACAGTCGGAACATGAGAAGGACATTAGTAATGATACTAGACGTCTTTTTCAGCTAGAGCGAAGCTTGTCAAAAAGTGGTCATGATTATACGAAATTCCTTTCTGGTAATCGATACTCTTTATTTGAGTCCAGTTGTGCACAATCGGTGAATACACGCGAAAAGTTGTTGCAATTCTATTCAACATGGTATTCGTCAAATGTGATGGGACTAGTTATCCTTGGAAGAGGTACATAACATGTAGTATTGTTGAATTGAGATTGATTGTTGAGGTTGCTGACATTTGAGATGTAAATTTCTTTTAAAAAATTAGATGTAACTAAACCGTTTTATACTATTTGAACACATTGTGATGTCAGTTTGTCGAGATTATTAGTGCTTATTAATATTTGGTACATTACCTATAGTTTGTTCACACTGGAGATCCTTGACGTCATATTTTCTAGTATATTTAGATTGCCGGATATGTTTACCACGAATTCAAGAATTATAATGACCCATAATAGGGCTACTTTGTTTTAAATAATTAACTATTGTGTTTAATAACATGTAAAGAGGTTTTGGACTGTGGTTTTAAGATGTAACGTGAAATATCGTTATTATTATTATTTTTTATCTTAACACATAGATATTGATACAGGGATGCACCAAATACATATGCGCCACACAAATCTCATTCGATATGTGTGAGGGCTGTGGTACTGCCCGGGTGCCCAAACCGAAGCAGGTGGTTTTCTTAGGGGGTAACTCCCCGAGCCTTCAACCTGAAGGTCTGATCCACAAGGCAGTGGAGCATCGTAAGGAGATGCAGTCCCATGGTAGCGGGTGACCAACGATTGGTTCATACGTCATTTGTTCCCGCAGGATACTGGAGCCCATGTGCACTATTGGTTTGGTTTGGGATCCGGTTAAAGCGCCGGACATTCGCTTTTCGTCCTCTCATTTTCGTAAACAACACCCCCGTGGTGAGAGAAGGCAGTGAGTAGGACTTCCTTGGAAGAGGCTGTATGCGCGTGGCCATGTGAGAGCATTTCGAGAGGGAGAGCGGACTCTCCCCACTCTCGGCCATACAAGGGCATTTGGGGGCCAATATCGTTAGGTTTTGTTACTCACATCCAAGTTAATTGAACGTGGGGAAAATACGGTCGATCGGTGTCCGTGAACTCCTTCGGACTTCGAATTTGAAGAACGTAATTATACAGAAGAGTAATCAAGTGTTATCGCGATAACTAGAAACTATTTTGTTTACAAAATGCGATCAAATGTAAGTCATTATCATGGCTTATCCACACTGTTCATCTGTCTCATCAAAAATTGAACACAATCATTTTATTTTTTGGTTGGGATCATGAATCAATTGATGTTAGACCACCGTTGGAAACCTGGAAGCACTGGACGGCCGTTTCGTCCTAGTATGGGACTCCTCAGCAGTGCGCGTCCACGATCCCACATCCCGCGGGATTCGAACCCAGTACCTACTGGCTTCGCCCCTGAGCACTTAACCATTAGACCACTGAGCCGGCATCCAATGGTGTTAGTGTCTAACATCAACCAATCCACGAAATTGCGCGACCAACTTCCATTGTACTGAGGTAGATACCTGTCTCTACCCGACACGGATGAGCTCCACTGGTCACTACTTCTCACTAGAACTCCGAGAATTCCCTCACGAAGCTAGACACTAGTGAGCACATGTTAATTATCAGTATGGGGGTTGTGGAGATTGTTAAGTTTTTGGTTGAGATCATGAATCAATTGATGTTAGGTCCTGGGTTCGAATCCCGCGGGATGCGGGATCGTGGATGCGCACTGTTGAGGAGTCCCATACTAGGACGAAACGGCCGTCCATTGCTTCCAGGTTTCCAACGGTGGTCTAACATCAATTGATTCATGATCTCAACCAAAAACTTAACAATCTCCACAACCCCATACTGATAACAATCATTTTATTTTAATTTTGATTTGTTAATCACAGGTGACAAAATGTGTTAGTGATAATGGCTTCAGTGTATTGGAATCGATTACCTACAATTATGAGTTGACGATAAGATTGAATATTTTCAAGTTGTTCGTACAGATGAGGATAGTTAGTATGTCAATGTATGTAGGGTTGAGAGCATTTGGAGAGCAGGTTCTTCAGTTGATAAAACCATTCATACGTTTCATCACAATACTAAGCATGATTGGCTTCCACCAGACGACTCTGGAACTGTTATCATACTAGTTGTTTTTGACATGTTGCCTCCTGATTGATCATTAGGTCAGGATGTCAGACTAATATTTATTCTGTGTTATTCTGTTCATGTATTAGTTAGGGCATCTATTTTATGTGTTAGAGTCTTTGACGCAGTGGCCATGGAAATCAAGGTATTACCAAGTAAACTCATAAGCTACTCAATAATCAGATTGCTTTCAGCAGCTTTTGCGTCTGGATTATTTTGTTTTTGGTTACTGACGATGATTCATAGAGAGTACTAGATAGGTGAGGAAGAGAACATGTATAGAACGAAGCTGGTTAACAAATTGGCTAAGAAAGTGGTACAATGCTCCATTTTGTGACTCATATATAACTTCTGAGTCAGATATTTCCGACTTGTGCGTGTTACAAGCATAGCGACTACAAAATCGTTTAGTTTGTATTTCGTCGTTTAATTGGAATTGGTTTTAAATACTAGGTGTGATCAGTATTTACGTTTTCTTCGTGTTTGTGATTGTTTTTTATAAAATGTTTTCAGAATCCATAAATGACCTAGAGAAACTTGCAGAAGATAAGTTTTCGGAAGTTATTGATCGTAATGTTGTGCAACCATCATGGAACGATACTCCATGGCCTGATATATGTCTCAAGGTAACACTTTTGTTTGACTTTTATTATATTTAATATGTTTTGTGAGTAAAACTATGCATATATGATCTTGATTGTTGCTTATGTGTTTAGTCTAGAAGATAATTAGTTGATTCCAAAAAGTGTTTAAGTTCATATTCTTGATTGTCACTAATTATGCCGTTTGGATGCTGCGTTTTTCACAGTTAGAGTAGGTTACTGTAAATTAGATGTTGAATCATTATAAAGAATCGTGAAGCAGGTTATGTGGTAATATAAAGAGTGATAAGAAACAGTTTTGTGAAGATAGTTTTTGGGTGAGCGATGTGACTGTTGATTGCCTATAGTATGACGAACACGTAGAATGTGAATTTGGATACATTGAAATAGGTGTAGAAGAGAATAATGGCTTAGTAATAATGTTGCGTCGAGTGGAAGGATGTGATAAATAGTAACCTGATCATTGTCTGTTATTAAAGGTATGCTGAAAATGAATCTAATGGTTCCTTTGCAATACTGTTGTTTTACCTGAGACTCAAACGTATGAAAATAACAGTTGATATTTATTGAGCGTTATAGTTTCCAAGTTGGTATATGGAATAACGATGATGTGAATTTTGTTTTTATCGATATGAGCATATTGAGTGATATTAGTCTTTTAGGTGTTAATTACTTTCTAGCCTGTAGAATGTCTCGTGTGAAGTTAGCTTTTCTCTGATGTCAAATTTGTATCAGAGGCTTCATGGCTGTGAGAAGCATCAGTACAGTGCAATACTACTAGGCATTGCCGGAGATCAGTGAGAATAATATGACTGAGTAATGCCAATCACATTTCAGTTAGTGTTCTATTCAGAAATAAAGTCATGCATTTTGAATTTTAAAAAATTTGAATATGTATGTGCTAGAATGTGGAATGCTTAATTATCGACCTGTAGAATCGGAGTTGTGCTGTCACTGTGATTGTAAACTGCGAATGAAACCAATGATTTATTTTCCTTGAACTATGTAATGTTTATCGAAATGTTAATAAATTGTAATTTGGTAAATTAGAGAATTAAGGTAGAATAAATGTACATTTTGATTTTATCACAGAAAATGGTATATGTCGTCCCACTGAATGACGTCCATCAAATGAATATAATGTGGCCTATTCCTGACTATATTCCAGATTATACAGCTCAAGTAAGTTATTCTTTTGAAGTGGATTGATCCGTTATGCACAAATGCAGATTCATTGTTCATTTTATTTTTTTCGTCTATATTGTTTCGAAATGTTGACGTGTGTCAATCAGTTTTTACATTTACTTATAATCGAGAATGATTTGCACCAATAGTTTTGATATTTGTGTTTTCGACTGATAAATGTTGGTTCTGTGATAGAAAAGATGTGGGTTAAATGATGAAATAAGTGTTAACCGGAATTTTGTATTTGTGACTAAATAGATTTTAAATCTAATTCTAACCGTTACATCGTATATTGGGATGTCGTTCTAATATCTTACATTTTGCTCAGTTATCTTGTGGATTGCTTCCTGTTGGTTAAGGTATTAGACATATTAAGTGGTTTGATTAGTTTTTACCAAGATTTTGCGTTTGTGAAAGTGCTAACAATCGAAATTTCGCGAAGGGTTCTCTTTTCAACGAATTTATGATCAAGCTGTACAATTGTATGTATATATATGAAATTTTTTTATTAAAGTACTATTTTCGTGAGGAAATGTGAATAAGGACTAACCAAGATGATGTAATAGAAGGATTATAGTACTAGATTGCGTGATAGGGAAAAGATTTTCATATATATAGGATTGTACAGCTTGATAATAAATTCGTTGAGAAGAAATCCTTTCGCTGAACTTCGTGTTTTTAATGTTTAAATGGTAATATGTCATTTAGTTAAAGCTTAAGTTAGAACGAAACGCTTTATTTTAGGCTTCCGTTTTTTCAAGTTTTCAGGCGGCATGTATTTTGTTTACATAAACTCTTCAACTTGAATAGTCTTGGCAACCTACTATATTTGTCTTAAATAATCATTCACCTTTTTACCTTTTTAATCCAACTGTTTACAGGCCCCTAGTTATGTGACTCATTTACTTGGTCATGAAAGCCGCGGAAGTTTACTGAGTTTATTCAAAAACGCAGGCTGGGCTAATCGATTAGCATGCGGAGTTAGTAGGCCAGCAGCTGGGATCTGTTCTTTGATTTTGTCTATTGATTTAACTTTAAAAGGACTTGGTGAGTTAATTATCAGTTATATTTCTTATCTTCAGCTGTTATTATGCCTGATTATATATGTGTTTTAGCTAAATGAGTTTAAGGTATAAATAAGTATAACAAAAAAATCCCATGGGGATGTTCCATGGAGAATTTTCTTTTCGATGGTATATAGACTTAAATGTCATTTAATTTATTTTCAATTTTCTTATCTAGATAAAACTGATGAAATTATGACAAATGTATATCAATACATTAACATGCTTCGCTCTGATGAACCACAAAAGTGGATATTTGATGAAGAACAGGTAGGATATTAATTTTTCTTCGACCATTTCGAACTTTAACTAAGGAAGCTTATTTTGTTGAGATGGTTATGCTGCATTACTGTTTGTTTGATGAAGATTAACTATTTTGTTATCAATCGGTTATGTACATTAACACAGTCATTTGTTCGTTTCAGTTCCCACATCACGTAATTAAAAAATGAAAGGAGATAAATAAAAATAAACATTAGAGCTTTAGAGCTATTATTATTTGTAAAAACAACGGTTAAACATTTAGAATTGTAGTTTTTTGATTATTTGCAAATGTGATTTGATACTATGATGAGATATGTTTTTATATATTTATTTCTTTTTATTATTTTGAGTTATAATAATTGTATAATTAGGTTATGAGTTCGCTTCTGAAGTGGAGGTCATGCATTGGGTTTTCTACATTTGTTACATAATTTATTAATAAAATGTAAGGTCGTTGACTGAGTGGGTTGGAGGAGGCCTATGCTCCATTGGGAGTAACAGGCATAAGTAAGGTCGTTGATTTGAATTTAACAAAATCAAAGTTGGTAATTATTTTCGAGGCTTTTACTACAGTGTGATCTGTATTATTTGTCATAATTCCCCAGCTTTTAAATATACAAATTGTTGTAGATGTTAATTCCTCCCTGGGTTACAGTTGTTCAGTACGATTAGTCCTGTGACTAATAATCACTTTATTAAACCGGAATGTAATTAACCTTATTTGACTTAACTAATCTTCTGGAGTCTAGCCAAATAATTCTTCCTCCGGAGTTTTATGTTTTTAAGTAGTCGGGGCTAAGAGCGTCGTATCGTAGTTCAAAGAGGTATCAGAAATTTTGCTGTACTGCAAATTCTATCAAATGTACAAACTTTTATCTTGGATTGTGATCATTATATTTATAGTGCTAATGTTCATTGTTATACATTATCATACTACTTGTTTCTAATTATGATCATTCACTTATATCCAGACTTGAAAAAAGCAGTTGCTTAGGGCAACCTTTTTTTACGTTAACCATGTATGTAAATAAGTTTCTAACTATAGATCAATATGATTTATTCAATGGATTTTTTTTCATTTATAGGCTTTATGTCAATTAAACTTTCGATTTAAAGACAAAGAACCACCTTATGAATATGTTACTGGATTAGCCGGTAATCTATTGGTAAGCAACTTCTAAAAAGTCAACAATTATTGCCTTTTAAGACCTTTCAATTGTTCGTGCATGAAATTGACTATTTTAAATCAAAGGAAGATTTTTGACAATAATCGAGAATCCAGTCGATGTTTATATTTATTGTTTTGTTGTTTTAAAATTCTATTGGATTTGTTTATATCCCAACTATATTAATAAAGAAGCAATATGTTGTTCAGTGGTTCTCCCTATTTTATGCTTAACTGCTGTCTGTAATGGAAGGTACGACATAATAACCGGTATTCATCTGTTCTTCGGAGCAGTGTTCATAGTTAAAGAAACTGCGAAATTCTCAATACATTATTTCCTTATTTAGTTACTATCTACTAAAACATAACATATTGAATGTGTTCTAAGCATATTAGAGACCAGGTTGTACTCACAATTGTTTTCATGAGTTCATTCCTCAAAATCTTAAATAATTTACTGCCTCTTGTTTTTATTTATTCTATTTATCCTATACATTTTATTGTCGTAGTTCTCACTTTTTAAGCTAACCTATTTCTTCTGCAATGCTATAAAGTGGGATACCTTAAACGGCTGCACTTTCTTGTAAGTATTCACGTTTTACTCTGCTCATTTCGATTTCTCTCTTTCCAAGCTTAAATCATACTGGCTATGTATCAGTTCGTTCATTTATAGTGATCAAAAAAGTGGATTTATACGAACAATCGAAGCATTTTATTTTCCCACTATTTTCTCTTTCATTTCTGTTAGCTGCATACAGCACTAACATTTGATACCGATCTACTTTTCATAATTTTCTGGAAGAAATTGGTTGTTCTGAAAGAAACTATTGAACATACTATAGTGATGATAAGGCATTTTAAATGCTAAAAGTGTTTTATCTATAAAATCATTCCTTAATATCTGTAATAACCTCTTCCAAAAGCCTGGTAGCTATTCCGATATCAAGCAGTTAATGCTCATTACTGTGGTTATCAAGCTATCTATTTTCTACCTACCAATGTTTTAACTGAATGAATAGTCTTAGTTGACGAAAGTTCCATAACGTTTAGTCTAAAGGATTATTAAGTTATATAGATTATATTGAATTATTCCCATTCATTATATCATTTTTCTTATTTTGTCCAGTTATCATGTCTTCTACGGGTTGAACTTTTCATATCGCTCGACCTGTCTCAAAATCAAAACACGACTTGAACAGGAGTGTATGTGTATTTTGAAGCAAAGGGCAAAGTTAATCACCCATATATCTATTAAAGTGATAGTAATTTTACGAACGGAATACAAATCACAATCCATTAATTAGTAAAATACCAAAATTCCTATTGAATAAATCAGTACATATATAAATATATTAGAAGTTGGTAAATAAAGTTGGCTTCAAATCAGTTTGTGAATTCCAAAATTAATTTTTTTTATAAATGTAATATTTTCGAATTCGCCGTTTCCAACACCAGTCAGTGTTTACCTCTTCAAAATATTTTTTCTAGCTTTATGACATGCAAGATGTTCTAACCGGTTCTTTCTTGGCAACTGTCTATGATCCAGATTTAATTAAAAAAATCTTAAGTTGTTTAACGCCTGATAATAGCCGGTATGTGATATTTGTCTTTTATAATGTTTTTGATTTGTAGTACCGTGTTAGTTCATAATACTTGTATATTTGAATATATGGTTTCTCATGTTTTGCCATCTGACAATGAAAGTGTAGCTTATTCATTGTAATGTGATGCTTCTGTTTCTCCAGTTGATGCAACTTCAGCCAATACGAATAGTCAGAATTATTTGAATTAATAAGAAATACTAGTTGTTAGAGGTTTATAAAAGTATCTAACAGATCCAGATCATGTATAACTTCTCTCAGTGACATGTGTCTTATTCAATTATTTTACAATATTTATAACTAAATTTTTTACTTCATATTCTTTGTAAATATAATATGTTCTAAATTTTGGGAATCTTGATATCATGTTAGACAAAAGACACAAATATTACTACCACATGATCACAATGCTTCCCCAAAGAGACTAATGAGAGAAAAGGGAATACAAGGCCTCCCGGAATGTAGTTCAAGGTTTGTCTCATCTTTTTTCTAATGACGCGAATTGGGATAAATACTTCTGGAGTTGTACAGTTGTGTTTCAGTACCATAGATTAAAACCCATGATTAGCAGAGTAGTGCCCGATGCACTATGTTAGAATAGTTTCTGGAAGGAACAAGATATATATATATATATATATATATATACCATTATTTTGCAACCAACAAATCCGAAATATCTCTTAACTTTTTATGTAATGTTGTCTTTATTATATAGCGTCTTTCTAGTCAGTCAGAAGTTTACAGATAAATGTGTGGAGGAAGAACCCTGGTATCATACTAAATACCTTGCTGTTAATATTCCTGAAAATACCTTGTCAGTAAGTCATTGTTCTTAGCAAATATTGTAATCGAAAATCTTATTCTAATTAAATATCGTTGTATAAATTGTATTTGATAATGCGAAGCTGTTAGATCTCATTTAAGACTGATCTGGATGTATACGTTCATCTGAATTTTATGAAGGTTTTTCGATTAAAACTAGAACTGTGTTTGATTGCTTGAAATCCTATAGTTATTCGAATTGTGAGTAACAGTATCCATCGGTTGTTCAGCAAAAAGTAGTTACAGAACCTTGGTCACGCGGTCTCGTGCCTAAACATATTGTAATTAGCAATATATAGGCAATTAAAAATTTTGGAAGCATCAGTATCATTCATCCAGTATTGTTACTTGTGCAGAAAATACTAGACGTCATTGTTCAAATTTGTAAGGGATTGGCTCTTTCATTAAACTACTTGATATCCATGTAGAGAAAGCTATCAATTCTCCATTAATTTCACGTTGTGAAGATTAAAAGTTATTGATATAAATTGTTCATATATTTATGCGTTTTCTTCAGCACTTCTCGCTTTGTTTTTTGAGTTTTTTGTTTCTAATAATTTGCTTCTTCGCCAATAGGCATGGCGAAATAGTTCTTCTAATCCAGAATTGAGATTCCCTGAGCCAAATTCATTCATTGCTACTGAATTCGATCTGGTGCAAAACAAATGCCCCACGAATGTTGAAATGCCAGAATTATTAATTGAAACAGAGATGTCTCGTATTTGGTACTTTCAAGATACAGAATTCAATCTTCCCAAAGGTTTTATCACATTTCATATTGTCAGGTTAGTTTCTCTCTCTCTCATTTATACTTATAAATACTAATGATTATTATCCTGGATAAGTGGATACTATTTCTTCGCTAGCAATATGGCATTAACTGCCTTATTATTATTAAGCTATTTGTCAGGTGCAGATTCTTGTACCTGTCTTTGAGGGACACTGAGTTTGGAGGTTAGTAATACCACTCGATTGCTGAAATTGAAGTGAATGAAGCAGTATTTAGATCTAGGATTTTATCGAACTTCTTAATCACTGATCCACCGTTCTACTTGTTTATTTATTAGAAGTACATTTTTATCCCAATGGGGTGATAGCTTTGTACTAATTTGAATATTAAAACCACACTGTTATCCAGGCAGTAGGCTAATATCACTAGAGGCCATAGGAACAACTCATCTCAAACCCGCGTACGCTAATGTATGCTTGATATATTAGTTAGTAAGTCAGCTACAACGTAGGACCAAGCACATATATGCATCAGTTCAAGTTGTCACACCTCATTAGCATAACAAGGTGATCACCAAATTCATAGAAGCAGTTGCTTCAATGTTGGTAATATATAAAAGAAAGATTGTATTTAAGGATATAATATATGGGAAAAGAATTAGTTCGTAGACGGAAAGTATGAAGTATTCTTTTATCTCACGGTTTAAGGGAAGACAAAGAGTGTATACATCAACACCATTGTGATCGATTCTCAGGCATGTCATCCAGAGTCTCTAACCATTGGTTACGATAGTCGCGCCGACCTCAACCAAGTAGTCTGCATCTACTAACACGACTCAAACCAGAAGTTAGGGAAATATCAGTTAAATTTATCTTGTCGTTGAAAGCTGAGTTTTATAATTCAATGATATGTGGTTTTGTGCAGTTCATTTACCATGTTTATAGAATTTATTTAAGTATCTTAACATTACTCTTTAATTATTTTATTTGTAGTCCATTTGCATTTTTCGATCCTTTTCATACATCACTTGGTTTAATATACGCAAACTTATTTGAGGATCATATTAACGAACTAACATATTCCTCTATGCTTGCTGGAATGACTGTTTATGTGAAGCACACTGTTGAAGGTATCAAGGTATGTAGCATGCAAGTTTATTTTGATGTAATTACTTTAAATAAAGTTTGTTTTTTGTATGTTTATTGTCTGTCACTTCAAAAGTTAATTTGATTGGGATATAGACATTTAGGCTAATCAATAAAAAAATCATAGTGTCTACTTTTTATAGCTTGCATCAAAAAATGACCTTAAACAGATAACCATTGAAAACTAAGAAGAACTGACAGCTATTTTGTTCTAGTGTGTGACTTTTCAGTATCACGCATTCATGATGTCACCAGTGTTCAAACTCAGGGCCTTCGGGTCTTGCGAGGAGCACTGTACTTGTAGATCACTGAGTCGGTTTACATTTTAGACTTTAATCAATCTGCAATATTGTTCTTGTATCCACCGTTTTTGGTAGTTAACTGTTTTGCTCTCAATGTAGTCGAATTCCACTAGTCTCATTTTAACACCGGGGAATCACCTTTCAAAACTAATCGCCAGTAAGTTCATGATTTTAGTTCTTTCTGTCGTTTGATTTGCATCCTCTTAAACGTTTATTTTAATTTTTTTAGCTATCATTTTTAGGATATTCGCATAAATTGAAAAGTTTTGTCAAAGAAATCGTAACAAAATTTGTGAATTATTATCAACCAGTTACTGACCGTTTCGAATGTATTCGTGAGAATATGTCTCGAGAGTTTTCCAATTTCTCAATGAAACCAGCTTATCAACAGTCCGGTGCATATTTAACAAGTCTTATTTCAGATCATTCTTGGATCAGTGATGATTTTGTGCGCGCTTTTAAAGGTGAATATTCCTCATGGATGTTTTGTGTATTTCATCTCTTCCGTTAATCATAAATAACACTAAAACTTGATATCAATGTTCAATTATCTAAATTATCATACTTTACCATTAACCTACAAGGTGTAAATGAACAGCATAAAAAAGCATACACTTTACAATATATATATGCTAGTTAGAGCTAAGGATCGCTAAGAAAATTCATATTTCTTATATTACGGTATATATTTGTGAAATCATAGTCTAAATTCATTTAATTCGCATGCTCTCAAGCAATTTACAATATTACTTTCATGTTATTGAAAAGTATATCTTTTAACAATATCACATACTCAAAATATTTCATCTGTATAAATGATTATAGTTGTTCATTCAAACTCCAGATCGTTTCAATCCTATTTTTAAATTATGCAATATTTATGAATTGGATAATAAGAAAACAAAAAATGTGTGAAAATTGAGATGTGCTATACACTTTTCCAACCACATCTTTGTAGTACCAAGTGTATACGAAGAAATAGTAGGAAAGCTAATAGTTTTTTGAAAGGCCAAACATTTGCAACTTCCAAGTACTACATTGGGTAAACACGAATAGTCACTGTCCACCCTGTAACCTTTTCCCTTATGTTTATTAATCATTTTCTATACTATCCTGAATATCTTGATTGAACAGTCCTCCTATGAATAGTAGCTTTGTCTGCTTAATATATTTGGTACACTGAATCACTCGACTGATGCTTCTTTTTGGTTCTAACAGAAAAACCCAACCCGTTTAACTACTTGCATTTGTTTAGATGATCTTACGAGTCAATTGTTTACAACAATATCCATATCACCGTCTACGCTGTACTCTATATATGTTTAAGTCTTAGCGTCTGATCATATTGATATGTACCAGTCATTTTGTCTTTATGAACGCTCACCGCAGTGAATCTCACGTGATTCTGTTACGCTCACTTTTAAGTGGATGTTGATACAAAAACGAAAATCCGATAAAGACTAACATACAAAAATCTTGTGATTGGTAATATTGTCGGCTACGTTAAATAATTTTGTTAATAATAAATATAAGCTTACAATAAAGAATAATAAACGTTTTGTTTACAAATGTGTATGTAGAAATGGTACGATTACACTTAAAACTATTAAAGTTTCAATACAAAGTTGTCGATCAATAAATTTACTGAATTCAAAGACGATTATACATACTGTTTATAAAATCTTGTATTTATATTCCTTTCAAATAGTATGTATAGAGGATATGTACTAAGGCTATTTGTAGTTACCATTATCAGTACAACAATTTTAATCTATCACTTCTGTATATATTTAACAGAATATCTCGAGTGCTATTAAAGGTATGAGGACGGTGATCACTTCTCGGTTGCCCCCATTGTGGAAGGGTTCTTCTAGAGGTATCTGAAAAGGTAATCGGGTTAGAGTTGGTTTTAATCACTTGAGAGCCTGACCGTAGTGCTCAAGAGACAACTGCTTGAGGCCGGTCATACACAACCTTTTTGTTGGTCATTTTTGTGTTACGTCCGTTCTTGTTGAGACCTTACCACCGGAGACGGATATCCGTGGGATAGGGCAGGGTGTACATTTTAGGGTCGACCTTTCATAACTCCACCCTTCCTTTGTGGGAAGGCAACATTGTTGTTATGCTGGTCATCTGAGGGAAACACACTGCCGTCACACCTCTGTGCAGTCAGCAGTGCGACTTCGCCCTCGGACGTTGGGTTTGCCTCCTTTAATCTTACCGTTCTTCAACCGATCTACTTGTCATGATGGCAGTTTGAGGAACGATTGTTCTAGACAGTATAGCTCGACTGGTTCATTACGATAAGAAAACCCGACCACCACGTCAAGGTAGCAGCAACGGTAGGAAAATATCTGGCCTACCTGTTCCTGCCATCTGGGTATTTCAACAAGTTATCTGTTTTCTTGTTTGTTTTAACACATCATTACGCCTATTAGTCGCATAATCTATTTAGATGCGTTTGTGAAAAGTTTACGAGATTTCGCTGTACAAGTTACAGAAGAGCCCAATCAGAGACATCGTGGTTGTTGGCAATATGCATCGAAAAAAATGTACATTATTCAGATGTCGATTCTTGAACTGCCAACATCCAACTGGCGACCACTCAATATTTATCGCAAGGGTAGATTAAGAAATAAGAAAAGGTAACTTGTTGAAATACTTTGGGCTGAGATTTCTATATTGTACCAAAAATATAATATTGAATAAAGACACCAATAATAATTGAATTTATTTGAATCTAATCTTATGTTATCAGTCAAATGAAAATGTCTCTCATGATTACATTCTTAACTTAACTTTATTGTTTCGCTATAAATCTGTTTTTTTACTTTTGTTCAAAATCATTTCATCATGTCATTTATGCAATTCTTTAAATTCAGTACATCAGCTCATAGATTTCTATAAGTATTAACTATGATCGGTCATTGTGTATCCAAATATTCTTTAATTGTCACTTAAATATATAAATCCTTTTATCATTTATAAATTTTAATGAATATATTATCTTTAGAGTAAAGATAATCTTCTTGTGGTTTAATTATTTCACTAATTTTCGATTGAAATCTACGAAAGTTTGCCCCCTATTTCTGTATAATAATGAAAATACTTCATTTCCCGCCTAGAGGTTACGTACGAAAGGTTAATTAATTTCATCATGGAATTTCATGAACGCATTTTTATTGAAGGCCTTATCTATGGAAATATCACTGAAGAGGTGAGTATACAATAATATGATATATATATATATTCTAGAACGAAAATTTGATCAAGCTTTCCTTATAGGTGGTTAGAATGTTACGATTATCTTTATTTATTTATTTATATCTGGACAAATACAACACAAAATGGGCTCTCGAATATAAACATTAAAACTGTGTTTTTTTTAGAAAGCTATTCCTTTCCAACTTGAAAGTTCACAACAGTATGAGAGAGACAAATAGAAGGTTATTGGCATCTCAGAGATAGTAAAACACTATATATGCCACATTCTAAAAAATTTTCAGTTATCTCTTTTCATTTTTCCCAAAACACGACAAGAAACTTTACAGCGATCACAACTAATTTCAATTAACGTCTGAAATCACTCAGTCGTATCCACAGGATATTATCAGTATTTTGTAATGCAGCTGTCGTTCATATCACAAAGGTCACTGTCTTTTGTGATTGTTTGCTACGTGTTCGTACATCGATTTTTGTGGTTTACAGTATACCTCGTACTTGCGTACACAACGCGCTATTTAAGTGCAAATTACGTTACTTACGCATCATACTGTGTCTGCTACAGATAGTAATCTTTCTTCGATTACGATCTAGAGCATTGATATTCATTAAATTTGTCATTTCTGTAGAAAAGGCCTAAACCTTAAATGAAGTTATAACTAAATTGCTTTGTTACCTTTCTCTCTGGCGCGTCCGAGGTTGAGATTAGTTTATCGTCACTCAAAATCCTCATTAGGCCATGCTTTAATAGCCACTGCCAGGGAAGTTCTACTCACTGTCTTCTCAGTGCAAGGGCTGTTGTGCACAGAAATGAGAGGATAGAAAGCGTATGTTCGGCGTTTAAAGCGTGTTAATTAATATGGAGCATTCACCTGAGGGAGTTGAAAAACCCTTAATCTAAATCAATGGTGCACATAAACTCCAGGATCCTGAGAGACTATAGCGTATTCCATCTGGGTAACTAACGGACCTCCATATATCGTTTTGAAGTTTTTGTTGGATGAGGGGTGTAATATAATGCTATTTTCAAGGGTTTATTAGTTTAAATGAGTGGTTAATAGTATAAAAGTTAAGATATTTTCTATATTGAAAAGAAAGTAGTTTTAACAATTTGGTTTAATACTTCACTAATGTACTATCTTTTTTAACTGGCCATAGCTACGTTTCAACTTTTCGTTTTTAGGATGCAATAAGTTATCACGAAATGGTTCGGGACTTGTTGGTACAAAAGATGAATTCTAAACCACTTTTACTGTCTCACATCTTAACCTCTCGAGAAGTAATAATTCCTGAAGGTAATCATCTTTGTCCACCACTCTTCCGCAAATACAGTTTATGATTATTTCTGACTATTATTCTACCTCTTTTACGATTTCGTTTTATTGCAATTTATTTCTAAAAGTGGTATTTGGGGATTCTATATTTTATATAATTAGCTATATTTGTATTGTTTGCAAATTTTCAAATTGCTAACTATGCACATAAATGTTCAAAGTGCTCACTTCGTCATAGGTTATTAGTCTTTGACCATAAATGCCTACGTATGTTTGGACCATTGAGTAAGCGGTGTCAAGGTTGAACGTAGCCCACTGACTAGGTAAAGACTCCGAATCGGTCGATGATTCGTAAGTATCCATCGTCTGAAATAGCTGTGATTTGTATTACATATGTCCAAACACATCTACCACGAGTAAGAGTAAGTTGAAAGGAAGCTGAATGTTGAACTGAACTGCATTAGTAGGTACAGACTACCAGGTTTTGGCCCGCGCGGTTATCGTAATGGTTGGTTAGTGGCATGGCTCAGAAGATCGTTCGTAATGATTCAGTTACGTCTTCATCTGCTGGATGCCGAATTTTTAAATGATTGTAAACCTTTCTGTTCCACGAATTCATTCTTTTATTATTGAGATTATGAATCGACTGATGTTAGACCGCCATAGAAAACATGGAAGCACTGGACTCCTCAGCAGTGCGCGTCCACGATCCCGCTGAGTCCCATAATAGGGCGAGACAGTTGTTCAGTGCTTCCATGTTTCCAATGGTGGTCTACATCAGTCGATTCATGATCTCAGCCAAGAACTTAATAATCTCCATAACCATATACTGATCATTCTTTTTTAGCGAATCATATTCTTTATACCTAACCTTTCCCACAGATAGCATCTTTACTTCTAGTTCTCTGGTATTTGTCTTGACAATTTCATCTCGTGACGATATGGTGTGTCAGCTTAAACTGATGCACATATGTGCAAGGTTCTACTTTATCTATCACTAATTGTCTCTTTGTCAAGGAAATCAGTCGAAACCTGGTCCATCAGACAGTCAAACTGTAGATTTTAGTGACATACTTCATGTGTTGTCATATTACAAGACTTTTACTGTAATCAAAACCTTTGACTAAACGTTAGCTTACTCATAGTACTGCAAAAGGTGAAGTTATTTGTTATCCGAATTGTGTACATGATTTATTTTGTTGATTATTATTATTCCAGTTGTTTTTCTTATTTTATTTAGATTCCAGTTTTCTTTATCAACGATATATTTCTGGTCAACCGGCTTCTGCGATTTACTATTATCTTCAATGTGGTGAACAATCTACGTTTAATGATACATTGCTTAATTTGTTTTGTCAGATTGTCAGCGAGCCTGTTTTCAATAAATTACGTACCGAACAACAATTGGGTGAGTAATTGTTGAAAATAAAGCATAGGAAAGATGTTTTATCAACTTCTAAGTAGGAGGGGTATAAGTACCTAAGGCTTCCGACTTTCAATCACTAAGTTAGGATTTCGGACCTTACTTAACGTGTTTCTGTTCAGGCAACTTCTTAGTATCACTGTCAAGTACACAAATTTGTGTCTCGCAAGTGATTTTATTATTATTATCCTATATATTCGTTAGAAGCTAAATTAGTTGCCATTTTTAGAAATTAAACTTTTATGGAACCGATTGCGATTGTCATTAAATTGATTTCGTAGATAACACTACTAATAATTGAGCAAAGTAACATGAATTCATTCTGCTCAATTCTTTGTTCTTATCCTATACAAGATAACAAAGGGAACTAAATGTATGAGATAATGCTACGCTTGACATAAACTTGGAATGTATTTCACTATAGTTTTATCAGATAAACCTCGTCATTTTTGTGCCTAATTTTAACTTATATTCAGTTTTATTAAAATTCTCAATTATCTTAACTATCAAATAACTAATACGAATATGTGTCTTTGGTGACTAGTTCATACATTTTATTGGCATTTTAGTCTTGTAGTGTAACACAAAAAGCTAAAGTACAAATATTTAAACATAGTCCTATTCATTTAGACTAGTGGCCACAATGCAAAGTGATCGATAGAATTCGTTCAATACTAAGAATAACTTCATCACTAATCATTGATCTACTAATTATCAGCTAACTGTCCACTAGAAAAGGAATACTTGGGTATGGTGATTAAACTACTGAATAATTTAGTTTCCTGAACTTTTAAATTTAAGGTTAATTTGCAATCAACCGAACTCTGACCTCATGTCTCAATATTATCCTATGCTTTTTCAGACTCAGTGGTTTTTGTGTGATCTTTTTGTGTTTATAGTCCTGTAATATGTCATATGATGAGATCAGTCACCTGTTTAGTACTTCCTGGTTTTAAGTGGTTCAGCATTTGGCCATACATCATAATTAGGGTTAACTTTTAATATGGACAGAAAGTGAAGGTGTGTGCTCCATTTTTATGTCTTACAGAAGGATTTTTTTTCTGTTACCTGGTAATTTTTTTGCATCGTTAGTCCCTGACTTTATTTCTCCATAGTTATGTCATACCATTTTGCATATTGAACTATTCATTTATATTACGTATCTGTCCCATATTTGGGTAGTAGTACTGTAGGGAATGAAAACTTGATGGGGATGGCCAATTCACTGTTTTATGCTAAATCAAACAGTAGATTTGTAAAGTATGAAGATCGTATATTAAATACATTCTACTTCCAATTCTTGCTACATACTACTTACATCTGTCCGCATAAGTAGTGCACACCACAGACTGCCCCGACGTGCGATGTTCAGTGGTGTAGGAGTAGGTTAGAAGAAAGCTAGGGGTGGCCAGACCAAAACATGGCACAAATCCATGAAGTCACTGACAAGTGGACTGAGTCATGTTGGTAGTTGTGCACTACCTGGTTGGGATCCGCCTAATGATAGTAACTGATGGTTAGAGACCTTGGATGACATGGCTCAAAATCGTTTGCAATGGTGCAGGTGCATCCACTCTTTGTGTTCTCCCGAATTCTAATCTAAATTCTTCATGTCCCTTTTTTCCCTCTCCAAATTCATTTCACTGGATTATACTCCTTGAGTAACTTTTTCGAACCCTGATGTATCCGATTACTTCTTATACTCTTACTACCTCTACCACTACGGGATTTGAATCGACAACTGCATCTCTGTGCTGATGTGGTGTAGCAACTCGAACTAATGTACGTACTTACGAAGTTCTACGTTGTTACTGACTGACCGACTAAAATTTTACTTACATTTTATTAACCTAAAATTGACCATTTTATAGACGTTTTATTCTCTCTTGTTTTTTCATGTTCACATTGAAGGTTATATTGTACAGGCTGGACTTCGACGATCCAACAAACTACAGGGTTTTCGCATTTTAGTGCAATCATCTTATCATCCTAATAAAATTGATAAATGTATCGAAGAATTTCTACTTACTGTAAATGTGAGTGTTACTGATTGTTTTCCTTCCATCAAACTGTATACGTAATGGATTGTTGTCTGTTCTGTTCTGTTCCGTCCTGTCATTTATGCTCTCATACAATGTATACGCCTCCAATATGATGGCTTGTACTTACGTACAGACTCCTTGATACATGCTACTCACTTTTCCTTACATATTGGTATTTTAGAAAATGCTAGAAGACATGTCTGACGAAGAATTTAATGTTCATGTGCAATCCCTCATGACACATTTACTGGAAAAACCGAAAGGTATGCAAGATCGATTTGGGCGTTTATGGTCTGAAATTGCTTGTCGACATTATAATTTCAAACGACGTAAGTTCATTTTATGGTTATTATTCAACCTTTATCTAGTATATTATTTTTACGATTACCGATCTATTTGGTTGTTCTGTTTTATACATAGAATAAGATTTTCTTAATGTTTAATTTGTGAATTAATTATAACACAAAAACCAATTAGTAAGTGTTAATACGTTGTTTTTCGTTAAATTAAAATTATTGTGAAAATTTTAATTATGGTAATGTTAAGCCGATTCTAAATTCTGACCAAATGTATTTCATATTGATTATATTGTTATATATATTACATAAGTGAAACTGTTAGCTATACTTTAACTGTTCAAATCAGTTACTATTACTTGTCAAATAAAGAACTGATGAATCAAGCATGATTGCTTGGTTCATGTGTAAGTCGTTTCCAAGGCATCGTTTCTTATTGTACATAAGTACAATATGTTTATGCTATATCTTTAAATTTGTTGTTCCAAGCGTTTAACGCTTAGAATGCTAATCATCCAAAGTATTTGTTAATGAAAACGCTTTTCAAAGCCTTATGCATTAATACTTAATTGCTAACAGAATAATCTACCAATGTTTATTTAATGTTATGAATTATCTTCATTGAAAATATTACTTATAATTACAGATCTTCTTTATTTATATTTATGCCTTCAGTAATCAGTTTGTGTTGGATTATGTAAATTTAGTGTTAACTGATGCCTTCATACGGTCCGGACTTATGTTCGTAATATTAACTTTCAGTGGAATTCAGATTGGGAGTTTTCTTTAATCTCAGTTTTTATTAGAATTATGTACATCCTAACTTTTTCGCTGAAAACTTGAACCCTGTTTCAATATTTTTAGTCGCAATAGAGTTTTCTGCTAATCTCCTGATTCACACTATCCAGTAAATGCTTCGCGAAACGACATATTTATATACTCAACATAACGTATCGTAGATATTATTATTTATTTAAAGACATAAATATTGGTACAGGGAGGCACCAAATACATATGCGCCACACAAATCTCATTCGATATGTGTGAGGGCTGTAATACTGCCCGGGTGCCCAGACCGAAGCAGGTGGTTTTCTTAGGGGGTAACTCCCCGAGCCTTCGACCTGAAGGTCTGATCCACAATGCAGTGGAGCATCGTAAGGAGATGCAGTCCCATGGTAGCCGGTGACCAACGATTGGTTCATACGTCATTTGTTCCCGCAGGATACTGGAGCCCATGTGCACCATTGGTTTGGTTTGGATCCGGTTAAAGCGCCGGACATTCGCTTTTCGTCCTCTCATTTTCGTAAACAACACCCCCGTGGTGAGAGAAGGCAGTGAGTAGGACTTCCCTGGAAGAGGCTATATACGCGTGGCCATGTGAGAGCGTTTCGAGTGGGAGAGCGGACTCTCCTAACTCTCGGCATTTGGGGGCTATCTTAGATATGAACGTTTAATATGGATAAACGACCAGCTTCAGCTTATGTTGTACTGATTAAAAGCATAACAACAATTGTAACCGTCCTATTTACAGTGAATAATGATTTCTTTCCTTTATCTTAAAGATTTACATGAAGCCGATGTCCTGAAATCGCTGAAAAAGAATGATGTTATCGATTTCTTTAAAGTACGTGTAACTCAACAAGACACTTTTCGTTCCTACTTTTAATTAAAAATTTTATAAGCTTCATTTGTTCTTTTTTTAAAAAGATATGTTATGGTAAATTTGTAGCTACGTAAAATTATATGTGTAATCTCCAGCTTTGTGAATATTGTAAATAATCTGTTCAGTAGATTGAATTGTGGAACCCTATCCACCAGCTTATCGAAGTAATTCGGTTTTAGCTCTATCATATTCAAGTTACAAACATTTTAAAAACGCCAACATTCCAGTTCGCTGCTGTGCCGTAATAATTAGACTTCACAATAGAATAATTTATTTCAGTTATTTAGTATTTCAATATTTAGTTAGCCATAGTTTATGTGTAAAATGAATCGATTCACATAGGTGATTCGATACTGTTTTCTTCTTAAGTGGATATTTTGACACTGGTCGCTAGGTTGTAGTGTCAGCTGCTATGTCAAGCTCATATAGATTCCGGATAGGTTAATCTGTTCATTCTCCTCGAGTCACATTTTGACCTTGTTAATTACTCGTTTATCAACCCTGAATGTTTTTATATGAGCGTAGAAGTGTACATCTCTTATCTTACCCATCACATGTCTAACTTCTTTTTATCTGACCATAAATATCAATTCACACTTGGTTAAATCGAGTTCTTTTATATATTACCACCTTTCAATTAATTACTTCTATGAATCCGGTGTTCATCTTGCTGTGCTTATGCGGTATGACAACTTGGACCGATGCATATATGTGCCTGGTCCTACGTTGTCGCTGACTGAAATCGAGTTGGCTCAAACGCCTTCTGCACCGAACGTCATTTTGCTTCGTTCTCTTCGCTTCTCCGATATTTTGTCTGGACCAACGATTATAAAAAATATACGTATTCGAAATTCATTCTCGTATTTGACTTATTTAATTCCTTTATTCACTAACACGATTCAAGTTGATGATTATTTACGAGTGGTGATACGTATATTTCAATAACAATCAGAAAAACAATCCAACATGAGTCAGATATAGGGTCACTAAACTGGTGAGCTTGACGTGATGAATGATCCAGAACAAAATAGAGATCATCGATCCTATTAAAAGGCTTATTAGAATTAAAGGCATCCACAAACATGATAGGAGGATGATATATAAATGAAAAATGTGTGGTATAATATAAAAATGACCTCGACCAAGTGAATGAGTGTAATAATATGCAAAAAATAGCATGGTAAAAAGGAACAAACTCACTTGGAGTAGGATAAATTTGCGTTATTGGGTGATTAAAATAGTCCAATGAGTTTCGGGTGTCATAACGTGCATGGAATGTTCATAAAATTATAATTTGTGCGGTAAGTGATATGGTTGCGTTAATGTCATCACGAACAGCAATAATCATTCCACGTTAAATGATAATGTGATGATGAGACTAGGATAATTATTTGAATCATAATAGAACGATACGCCAGATGGATCAGTAAGATTAGTACATGTCCGTGTCGTGCTGTACAGGCTTCGCTGAATCTTTTCTGATTGTTATTGAGATATACGTATCACCACTCGTATATAATCATCAACTTGAATCGTGTTAGTGAATAAAGGAATTAAATAAGTCAAATACGAGAATGAATTTCGAATATGTATATTTTTTATAATCGTTGGTCCAGACAAAATATCGGAGAAGCGAAGAGAACGAAGCAAAATGACGTTCGGTGCAGAAGGCGTTTGAGCCAACTCGATTTAACCAATTGTGAATTGATATTTATGGTCAGATAAAAAGAAGTTAGACATGTGATGGGTAAGATAAGAGATGTACACTTCTACGCTCATATAAAAACATTCAGTGTTGATAAACGAGTAATTAACAAGGTCAAAATGTGACTCAAGCAGAATGAATAAATTAACCTATCCGGAAGCTAGAATAAGCTATATGGGCTTGACAAGGTCATCACCATATTTTATTGTTTATATATATTAATTGAAATAAACTTTTGTAACTAATGTTCATTAACTAAATAGTACAATTTTTTCAGTCTGATCAATAATGGTAAATGTTTTCGATTCTGAAGTCTTGCTTCGACCTTTTCAAGAACATTTTTACATAAACAAGTGTACTCACTCCTGAAATTATCTTCGTTGAAACAGTGCAATCATGTTTCTCATTCTTAAACTGTACAAACTTTATAGATTTAATAGTTTAGGGATTAATAAATGATTTACATATGTATTTTGTGTGTTTATTTTATTTTGTACTGAAATATAGTCGACTGGAAACTTAATCTTTACTTATTGATCATTTTATATAAAATTTAGAAGTATATGGATCCATCATCATGTAGAAGGAGAAAATTAACAGTTCGTGTATTATCAAACGAAGAACATTCCTGTGATTCGGAATACAATAATCATGATGAGAAGGTCAGTATATATATACATAATTTGTAATCTGTTTTCATTGTTTAATTTCCATAAAATGAGATGGCATTTTATCAGTATTCATCGCAATAAATAGCGATAGGTTTTTGTGTATATGTAATAAACACTTCTGTAATTTGAATCTTTCGACCTTCGAATCAATCAGTCATCCACGGAATACAACATATCTCAGACGTGTATCAGCTGAAGTTGTGACACAGAATACCAGTACAACGAATAGGGAATTTAAAAAAGTGGAAGTACATAATGTTCATTTCATTTCTTCACCTGATGTTGTATTTGATACACTATTGTTTCTTGCCCATGTTTTAATCTCAACATTGTCTCGTAATTTTCTATCTTGATTCAGTAGTCTAAACAAATAATCTACAAGTAACTAAAATAGATGTACAGTCTCGTTGAACTTTTCTCACGAAAAGCCTATAGTGCCTCTAGCATTCATTCATCGTAAATTTTACCTCACGACTTATTACACTTGACTGCTTATAGATGGTGAGCATTAGTTGGCCGGCAACTTCCATCATTTTTTGCAATTATACTATCACTATCGGTCTTATAAGGTTGAACATACTTACCATAATTACTGTTCGTCGATATTTGGCAAAACTCATAACAGATTTACCTAAAATCAATAAAACTGAAAAAATTCCTTTTGTGTGGTTAGTATGATAACGGATATCTGTTGTCCATATCACAATCCTGGATCTATTATTACGCAACGTTTGACTGGTGACCGATTAGCATCCTGGATTGTTGCTGTTTTATTTTCAAAAGGCGAGTTATTTGATATGGATGTAACATTTATATACTGAAGCAACACTTCCGCGATTATACTCAGGCTTCCAATATTTGTGTCCTTTTCTAAGTGAGATGGCACTTTTAACCGTATACTTTTTCGATATTTCTGAAATATAAACATCACACCTACATATGGCTATTAACCTGATATTACTGTTCAAAAAATGGAGTTGTCAACCACTAGTAATTCTTTTATCGTCTATAAGTAATATTTTGGTGGATATTAGTAGCCATAGCACCTAATAGTAACATTGCTTGGTTTAATCTGTTATATCTACTGTTCCCAATTGAAAATGCACAAAGCATGGTTCCTGTATTTCAACATGTGAGATTTTCTCGGTGGTAGATGATTTCATCATCTGTGTATTAACATTGTTGCGACTAGGTCGTGGCACTTGAACAAGTCAGTAACGATAACTTGTGGTGATTAATTTGATTGGTGTACCAAACCCAATCTTACGACAAGGTATCATCTTGTTTCGTTGCTTTTGAGACACGCATGTAAAAAAATTTCGAAAATTTAATTGTGCGCCTTTGAAATGAATGATATTGTTTACTTTTCTCTAGTGTATACATGTTACCATATTTATGTTTTGTTCGTTTATTGATTGGTATGTAAACTAAAGCCTATCTACGTTGACTTTTTCTTTGGTTTAGGTAATTGTTTTAAAGGATTACACCGAATTGAAACGTTGTTGTCCTTTGAGCGCTTTAGCGAGACCATTCATGGTGTTCACATCCAAATGTGAAGGAAACGTATTGCGATTTTAATTCGGTTTTCTGCATTACATATTTAGAGATATTTAATATATGGGTCTTTCGGTGATCGTCAAAATGTGTCATTTTCAAGGTTTCATATTTTCTACATTATCTTCACTTTTTCTTGGAGAAATCGTGGATTTAAATCAACTTTAGACAGATTTCAATTATAAAATCCCCGGACGAAAATTAATAATATGTAATTGTCCCATTACTTATGTGCCCAGTTATTTGCTAAAACATTAGTTCTTAACTTTTCTTAGTGTCTTGATCAATCAAGATCTCTTCATGTTTTCGCTTGCTGTACAAATTTCAAAAATTTCCTACGGTTGTTTTCAGGCTTTTATATTTCTCCTTGATTTTACGGTCTTTTCGTCTATGTATTCTTTTAATACACATCTAAACTGACTTTGCTTTTTTCTGTATGATACATAGTTAGTACATGTTCATTGATAAGTCATGAAAAACGATTAACTGTAGAAACAATCATAAGAATATATTGTTTTCCATTTACACAGTTTTAATTTGAAGGCGTACGCAAGACGATGAAGCCATTATTCACTAATGACGGTGCTCTTTATCTCTCTTATTACTGGTGAACTAAATTTACTTGTCAAAGACAGTATCATATCTCATCATTTTCTTTTGTCCTAAAACCTAAGTTGAGAACTCCCCATCATGCAACTATGAAAGTGAATGTATAGCTTGTTATATAAGTACATAAACAACCGTGAGTTAATAGTAATGAATCTATATGGTGAATATCAGGACAGCATGTTATAGATCTGTTTAACTGTAAGTTTAGTGTCATTATCCATAAAAATAACAGATGGAAATATCAAGTCGAAGCAAACCACAATAATCTTTATATTGAAGACGAAAGGCTTGCTTCACTAGCTTCAAATTTGACATGTGATATAGATATTCGTCCTGTTATTGTGTGGTTTCGTGACTCATTTTGCTGTTTGGACCCTCATTGTCCAGCTTCTCAGTCTAAGATATTGGTGCCTACTCGAGACGCGAGTGACTCGTAGTAAGATTGGGATGCATATGGTAGATTGATCCCTTAATGGTGACGGTTGTCATGCTCGTACAGTTCATAGTGCCTGTTTGATGAATGTCAACTCATTGTCTATGTACTTGAGGGTGAATGAGCGACAGTCTGTTGTTCATTTCCAGTGTGACGTCCACGTAATCGAACAGGTATGTAACAGAATTATTAGCACACTCCTTTTCATCTATGTAGATGATGAGAATGGAGGAAACTGGTGTTTCAGTTCGTAGAAATCCCTTTGATCGAAAGAAAGGGTTTGTCAATATTCATGAAAAATTGAAGTGTGTGTAATTTGAAATGCCATCCTCCAAGAAATTTGTAAAATGAATGTATTGATATTACAGGCTTCTGGGAGACGTGGAATTTATTGATTAAGATCAGGACTATGGTTAAACCCCAATACAATATAATACAACTGAAGTTGAGCAACGAGGCTATAACCACCAACACAGGACTACCTGTATGTTCAAACGCGCGTCGACCGTCTCCCGAAAATCTATAATTGACTGAAAGTGCTTTCGAACGTATGATTGATTGGTATCGCCTTTTCACATAGTCTCCGAAAGGGATAGCAAAGACTGTCCTCCAGCTGTTGATTATCGATTACTTGACATGAAATCTACTACCTTGTTTTCCAATTATTCCAAAAATATGGCATTACCGAATACATTCAGGAATGCCAGATTGGAACTGATACACTCGACTTTCTCGTCCACACTACTGACATTCAAGGTATTCGCCCTGGGAAAAAAATCGAAACCGCTCTGGATCACCAAGAAATGACCATGATGATGCAGTTACACAGATCTTTGTCGACAATTCGTACCGATTTGCGGGTCTCATGGAACTTTTTACAGGCCAATTTTGTAGAAATGCGAAAGCCTTCAATTCGGATGACAACGCAAAAAATAATTCTCCACAGTTGAGGAAATTATTGCGAAAGCAACCACACTTTCACACTAGGACGTTAAAGCACCCATCAGTATCGCCGGGCAACCCATTGGACCCAAGGTGGACAAAAAAAATAGATTCGAGTGAGTTGCTGTTATATTGTGGCCATGAAAAAGAAAATGCTTTCTACACACGGAGTTGCCCGAAGGGCACTTATAGCATGGGAATCACATGAATCCAGGATCATAAAGGCATCCTTCAAAACAAAGAAGGGAATCGCACTGAATGCTATCCAATATTATGCAGCCAACAATGACGATAAACGTCAGTTTTACGAGGGTTTGCAGTCGATTATAGCGAAGCGCCCATGAAAGTACCTTACCATCTTGATAGGATACCTAAACGATAAAGTCGGGATGGACAACACCGGGTATGAAGATATCATGGGACGACATGGACTGACTTGGATGAAGGAACGAGAATGGTGATAGATTTGCAACTTTATATGACTTCAAAATAATATTTATAAGCAGTACAATGTTCCCCCACAAACGCATACACAAATCTATATGGGTCTCACCGGATTACGCTACAGTGAACTAGATCAATCATATTTGCATCACCAATGAGTTCATAAGGTCAATGGAAGACGTGTTAACCAGGAGAGGAACATACGTAGATTCAGATCAACACCTGATGGTTGTCCAAATGAAGCTGAACCTAAAGAAACAATGGAGAAATGGGGAAATAGCATTAAAAAGGTTCAATTCAGCCTTTCTTGGAGATACTGACAAACCCAATCACTTCCAGATGGCTTTGAAAAACACGTTTCGAGCTATTCAAGACCTACGCATAGAGGAATCTGAGGTGACATCTGATCCTAACCACACAATCCCCAAAGTTGAACTCCGAATAACTGGAAAAACAGATATCTAATATTTGACTTGGAAAGAAGGTCAAGATTGGAAAAGGCTGGAAGAAAGAATTCAATTCAGTCAGATGGCATAGCTCAGCCTTGCAGGCGTGGTCAGTCTTGTGTAACGTATTACTTTTATTCTTATTAAATATATCATTTTGTCTGCAACCTAAATATGTTCTCCAGCTTATATTGGTGATTATACGATACGATGAGTCAATGTAAACAATGATGTGACTTCCGCCTAAGATATTATGTATTAAGCAGTTACATCGTGGCAAATCTACAATTTCAGGATTATGTATATTACTAGAGCAGTACTAACAACGAAGTAAACCGTAGTTCTACAAATCGACTATTACGGATAACATGAAAGGGAACAAAGAAGTGTGAAATTATGGTCCGGTTCGGTATTAGTACTACTATAATAATATACCTAATACTGGAGTTGCAGATAAACCATGACACGACTGCTGAATCTCTAAGGTCTTGTGTGGAAAATACATCATTTCATACTCTGACTCATCGTATAGTGACAATGAACAATATGATACTTAGCACTTCTAAAGAACACACTTGGGTTAGGAATAGAATAGTGTACTTAATGTGAATAGTAGTAAGTCACACATAATCACTACGTCAGCAAGGCTGAACCACGTTATCCAGTTGATTCCTGCCACCTTCATCATTCTGGACCTTCTGCTTATGTCACATGTTGAATGCCAATCTTCTCAGGGATTTTATGTTCAGTTTCGAGGCGTGAGTTTGGAAACAATAACACTGCAGAAACACTAACTTCAACGTGTCAGGAGGTGATGGACCCCAGGAAGCATCACCACTATCTCTTCCGAAAACATTGCCACGATTCAATATAGAAAGAACAATCGTATAGCAATTGACAACAGTCGAATAAGAGCGGAAAAACGACACAAAACAAGCCCAACACACAGCGATTGAAGGGGAGCATTAGAACCGACAAGTGAATATACGTGTAACACCTAGCGACGGCAGTGGACAAAGCTGCCATAGAGGAAAGTATCGGACAGCTATGTAGTATATCGAAGAAACTGTCTGGGAAATATAGTAAACCAGATTTAGTGAACGACAACTCATGTGGAGACAATCGAATGTATTTGAACGCAAAAGAAAAAAACCTTTTAGTAGAGTCTGAGAACCATACGGTGAATGTCGAGAATAGGGGAACATGTAGGTAAAATTCTTTGAATAACTCTTGAATAGGCCACTCCCGCTCACCGGACATCGAGGCAGTACATACAGACCATCAATGACCGAAAAATCATAATGGGCATCAGGAAAGTCAAGAGTGAGAAAACTGAGGGACCTGAAAACATACCATCTGGTACACTGAGGTCAAGTGTAGAATTAATTGAAAATGTCCACCACATTCCATTCAGCAAGATTCGGGTGAAGGAATAAGTGTCTTTAGACTGGAATGAAGAACGCCTCATCAGAATAACAAAGAAATGAGATATGAGCAAGCGTGAGGAATACAAAAACGTCACACTCCTATCAATACCAGGAAACGTTCGCAACAGACTGCTGCTGAACCGAAAGAAAGGTTCAATAGACGCTTAACTTCGAAATCAGTAGGATGGATCCCGTAAGGATCGATGGTGCACAAACCAAATCGCCACACTACGATTATCGACGAACAATTTAGTGAATGGAACTCATCACTGTACATCACTCTCCTTGACTATAAGACGTTTGACGTTGTGGATAAAAGAACCTTATGGAACGCTCTCCGACACCATTGTGTACCTAAGAAAATCGTCTGCATCACACGGAATTACTACGACAAACTACACTGCAAAGACGTGCATGTAGCTGACAGCTGACAGGCCCAATCGACTTGTGGTTCGGAGTCGTACATAGCTGTTTAATCCCTCCCTCCATCCTTCTTCTGATGGCTGACTGAATTATGAAGACCTCCACATCTGAGAGAGAACACGGAATGCAATGGACAGCTCAAAATCAGTTAGAAGACCTGGACTTCGCTTATGACCTGGCTTTTCTATATCATGCACACCAGTAAGCGAAGATGGAGAGAACTACATACATAACTCAACATACACAAAATAAGAAGCAACATCCTCATATACAACGTAGGACGGACAAGCGAGCCCTATA